CTGCAATATTTATGAACTGTTGCCAGCTTCAGTGAACAGAAAAACTTGAGCCTGAACACCATGATAGCTTTAAATGTATTTGAATGTGTGGTTTTGTTTTGTTTTTTTTTTGCATTAAATAAATCTGCAAATCCAAAGAATTCTTTTCATTGATTAGATTACTGTTTGGAAACTGAGGTATATGAATGAGTGTATTACTAGAATCTTCCATTAGGCTAAGGGGTGGGGGAGGAAACAGAAGGAACACCACTGGGAATCTTACATATCTTTGTATGTAACTAACAGCTCAGCCCTTAAGCTTTCTGTCACGCTCATGCTGAAAGGCAAACCTAGATTTGTAATGTGTGAAACAGCCCACTGGATGTCACTGGTGAAAAGGTATCTTATTCTGCACATATAACTAGTTTTTCCAACAGAATAGGAATTTTAGCAGGATTTGAGGTTGTTCACTGATGTTTGCATCTGACAATACTGTATATAATTTTGAATTTCAGTGCCAGCTGGAAGCCTTTTTTACATTCCTGATTGGCATTATATCTCATTCTGAAAAGAAAAATCGATCTTAGATTTAAAATCATTTCAAAGTGAATGTAGAAGTTTATGTGTCGAGTTTTCCCTGCCTCAGTAGCAAGACTGGACAGATCTTTCCAGCTTGCTTTTGAATCTCAGCCAATTAAAAGCCACCTTCCCTTCCAAAAATCACGTCTCCCCACGGCTGATGCATGAAATGTCAGACAGGACCTTAGCAGCAGACGGCATGCATTCCAAACAACACCAGATGGATTTTTATATTAGCTACTATTTCATGTTCAAGGCACAGTGACTGCACTGCTTTAAAAAAAAAAAGAAAAGAAAAGAAAAGAAAAAAGCCAGCCAGCCTCTGCGCCACTGCCACGCTTGCTTTGGTGAGATTAATTCTGCAAAATTAATTGGGACAAGATTGAAAAGGAAATTAAAATGCAGCTGAGTGAACCGGTTTTTCAAACACCTTTCTCTTTCCCACCCCCACCCCTCCAGCTTTGTGACGGTCCCTATTCCCACTCTGTCAACCTTTTTTTAGCCTCAGTTTTTTGGATGGTCATAGGTGAGTTCTGTTGCCACACAAAGTAATTTATGAAAGGAAGCCACCCAAGACCAATCAGTTACACGTGAGAAGGCTGTGGTACAATTGCAGTTCAGAGCTACTGAAGATAGTTAAAATGAGGTCATGTTCTCACACGGAAGTAGAAAGAAAAGAAGGAAGACAGGAAGATGGTGCATGGTGGGTCACAAGAGGCTCTACTATATCTGCATATTAACAAATGATTTCTGTTGGAGAATTAAACTATGCAGATACACTGTGGTTTGTCACTTATGTGGAAAACATTAAAAATGAGTATTTTAGAATTCTGACAGAGTGCATTCTGGAAATCATTAAAAGCAAAGCAAAGTGTTCTGCTTATATACAGCGGTGCCCCGCTTCACGACGGCCCAGTTAGACGATGAAACTGCTTTACGATTAGTTTTTTGTGATCGCTATAGTGATCGCAAAACGATGATTCAATGGGTTTTTTCGCTTTACGATGATCAAAAACAGCTGATCATTGGGTTTTCAAAATGGCCGCCCACTGTTTTCCGGACCTATTTCCGGAAGACAGCGATCAAAAATGGCTTTCCCTATGGAAGGATCTTCGCTTTACGATGAGGTATTTCGCCCATTGGAATGCATTAACCAGTTTTTAATGCATTCCAATGGTTTTTTTAACTTTCATTTGACGACGATATCGCTTAACAGTGATTTTAACGGAAAGGATTGTCGTCAAGCGGGTCACCGCTGTACTGCCCTGTAGCACTTAAAGCACTTTGTGGGCAGTTTAAAAGATAATTATGCAGGGTACACATTGCCCCCCCCCACTGGACAGATAGCTGAGTGGCCTCTCAGTCTGATATGGTTTGGTTTGTGTCACAGCCCACAGCACCCTCTGCCAATCCCTGGCTCTTCTTTTATGGTTCATTGTAATGCTAGTGTCACTGCTGTACTGCCCTGTAGCATTTAAAGCACTTTATGGGCAGTTTAAAAGATAATTATGCAGGGTACACATTGCCCCCCCCCACTGGACAGATAGCTGAGTGGCCTCTCAGTCTGATATGGTTTGGTTTGTGTCACAGCCCACAGCACCCTCTGCCAATCCCTGGCTCTTCTTTTATGGTTCATTGTAATGCTAGTGGACTGTTTAAAGTGTTGTACTGTACAATATGAGGCAAAAGGCACAGTTTTCCAAAGTTCTCCATAATGTAAAAACACGTACAAACATACCATGGAAGCACAAAAGTCTGCTGTTAGTTCATCAGAATTGTTTCTACAGTGGACCCTTGACTTACAGACGGCTTGACTTACAGACTTTTTGAGTTACAGACTTCTCTGGCCGCAAAATTTAGGTTTGACTTGCAGCCTGAGAATTGACATACAGACCAGAAAAAAAAACCAAAATGGAACAAAAACGGGATTAATCGATTTTCAATGCCCTGTAGATCAATGGAGATTTGACCTACAGACTTTTTGACTTGAGAACCACCTTCCAATACGGATTAAGTTCTCAAGTCAAGACCCCACTGTATTTCATATAGTTTTATCTTCCCCCCCCCTAGTGGAGAAGTGAAGTAAACTAGTATATCAATGTAGTGATGAGGTGATATAGCACTAGCTTGGTACTTTGTTTTTTAAAATTAAAATAAATACTTTGGGGAGATCAGGGAGAAAGACTGCAGGGGTGGGTGTTCCCACTCTCCCAAACATCATGCCCAACTTAGTATGTCACCAAAATATAACCCACAGTTCTGTGCACATCCCGTCCTTTTGGAGAAGAAAGTGACTGATAACACAGGGAAAAGTCTGTTTGAACCGTTCTGGATGGAAAAAGCAGCAGTCCCATTGGCAGAGAAAAACAACAACATATTTGGAACAGGAGCAAAAAGAGTCAGACTGATTCAAATTGGCCTTTGCAGTGTGTGATCAGTTAAAATAACAACAAGAAGTGAATGCATCCATTACACAGCCACAGCAAACCCCACAGTATTTGACTATGTAGTCTTAGCCTAAGAGAGATTATGCACATTTGCATGATGTACACAAGTCACACAATGCAGATTTTAATGGAAAAGTATTATTTTCAAAAGCAAAATGTATAATGGCTCTATTAGTCTTGGCACTATGGCAGAAGTAAAAACAAATCTCTGCAGAATCTTGTTCAGATGCATCCTCCCATTTCTACAATCAATCACATAATTGTAAGGCACCATCAAGGCTCATCAGTTCAAGCTGCTACCATCACTGGCTAGGCTCTGGTCTTTCAGCTCTTCTGTACAACCATCTGTTTCTGCCACCAGGCACTGGGCTTCGAGAGTGACACCTAGGCTGCAGTGCTTGTATGATTACACATCCAGTCAGCTGAACCACAAAGCCCAGTCCTGGCTACCACATTGTGTAAAAGCCACAGTCAGAAGGCTTGCTCCTCAATCTAGCATGGTGATGCTGCTTGTCAAATAATTTTTCTTTTTTTGCAGGGGGTGGGGAAAGCTACAGTCCGACAAAGTAAATTTTCTAAGCTGTGATCCAGGCAGTTCAGCAGTAATATAAAACTCCTGCTTCTTCCCCTGACCTCTGCCTTGAATCCTGACTCTTGCCTGGTTTTTAATACATCCTACCCATAGCTATTCTGGGTCTCAAAACCATTCTACCAGTCACTGGATTTTTGGTGAGGGGAAATTGTTCATCTGCACTGTTATAAGTCAGCCAGTTTATTCACTTTTGCACATTTGTAGCAAAGGAAAAAAAATCTTACATCACCACCTTCCCTTGCCCTTCATTCCCTTGGCCCCCAATTGCACACTTGATCAAGCAATTCAATTACCTGTGCAATTTTTGAGTAATTACCGTACACATGTACTCAGCCTATTATTGGAGCAAATTCTGCTGTGAGGTTTGTTAACATGGAGGCAAGGAAAAGTTACCAAAAGCAACTTTCAGGGTCAGGGAGGAAGAGAGAGGATGGACAAAGAAAATGAAAAAAGAATAATGGTAGCCTAGGTCTATGGTTCTCAATATTTTCTAGTGTCAGGGAACTTTCTTAAACTGATTTCTCTGTTAAGATGTCACTTTCCATCCATAATAGAACTCACATGTACTACAGAGATTTCTGAGGAATCATTTTGGGGTAGATACATTATGGAAGAGACTGCTAGATTGGTTTGCTAATTCACCATTTGTTTATGTGAGCAGAGTATGCGCCTTGTCACAATGTTCCACAACATGGTGTCATCAGATATGTTGGCATCAACAGGTGGTGGGGTTAAAACACAGATGTGCTTGCTGAGCATGATGGAAAATGCAGCTCAACATACTGCATTTATTGGGAAGCCTATTCTAGAATGTGCTTTTCTTCCTTGTCATCAATGCTCTACCCAACAATAATGAATTCCCCTTTATTCCCCCTTTAACCCTTAAAGCAAAGAAGGTACCTTACCACTTATACATATCCCCATCATCCTCTCTCCCATGAAACAGATCTAACAAAGCAGCAATGCTGATTTAGTGGTTTTAAAACAAGAAAACATTAAGTACACCAAGGCTACTTCTTTCCTTCCTGCTAAAGGAACAGCTGTCCATTTCCTTTCTCCTGCCCTGGAGTGCAACTTTACTCACTTTTAAACCAAGAGTAGCACAGTATCCATTACCCAGCAAATTTACCCACTCCATAGCAAATAATCAGAGTGAGCGAGCAATATTATGCACAGACAACATGTCACCATATTTTCATTTTATAAAAACACATATTTTGGAGTAAGTATCACTGAAACAGTAAAATGAGTTTGCATTTCCACTTTGTAAATGAACCCAAGCCAAAACTTCTCTTTGCAGAACTTCTGATAAACACCTTTAACATTAAATTAGATTTTTCCTTTTCTTTGGCTGGGGCTTCTGGGCCAGAACCTGTAAAGGTAAAATTGTATCTCATACATACCTTGCTAACAATGTATATTAAGTCTCCTCTTTGGAAAGAAAGCTCATCTGGGTGGCTACCAGTACAGTCCCACAGGCCTTGATAATAATTTGCATAACTTATCAATCTTCCTAAAACACAGAGAAATTGAGAGAGAGAGAGAGAGAGAGAGAGAGAGAGAGTTAGGAAAACACTACAGCAGACTCTCATACTCTGTTCTGTATTCCTTTCATATAGCTCCATAAAAAGTTGCAGAATTGTCAGGAATATGACAATAAGGTCTATGGTCTTTGTAACACAGCACTGGTGCAGAGTCCTGATTATTCTCTTTTTTTCGTCAGCAGTCTGGCCTAGGACCTTTGCTTTTCAGAATGTGATGCTGGTTTTGTGCTGTTATCATAAGTAAAAAAAAGTTAGTAAAATATGAGTTATGTGCTGTGTAGAACCAAAGTAAATTTATTAAGTAGTCTGCCAAGACCCTCAGCAGCTTTCAAGTGGTCTATGGAAAAATATGATCTTCTGACTGATAATCATAAGGAAGGCTTCATTTCCCCTCAGGCAGCAAGAGAATGTCAAATCCTAGATTTTTAATTTTTTAAACAATACTACTCCTAAATGCATCCTTTGCTGACTTCAACCTCTGGCAGCAAGCAGCAAGATGGGTGGGGACAGTATGTATTATATACAGGCTTCCTGTAGCAACAAGATATTTTAGATGAGTCCTCTTACACAAGGACAGGATATTTTATTTCCTCTAATTTGTGCATGGTTGCTAAATACTGTACACAAAACTATACTTCCAATGTAGACCCTCTACTGCATTGTTACCTAAAGACTTGCAAACAATATCCTCAAGTTTCAACTACTTGCCATGTACAAGGTTTTTTTTGCCAGACTATAAACAGCAGAGCCAAAAACTATCTCAATACATCTGTTGCATTTTGCCACTGGTGGTTTTTTTTGTCCTAACCAATGTAATGTACTGGAATTTAAAAATGGCTCATGCCATTTTTCAATGAACCACAATGCTGAGAAGGAGAAATAATATCAGTGGTTGCAAGTCAAACTCATTAAGGGAGTATAGTACACTGGAATTCCCAGGGGACAGGATGTACAAGGCATTAAATCCTTCTATTGACCTTCTGTTCATTTGGGGGCTGGAAAATACCCCAACAACTCCCTCTGTGCAACCTTTTTTAATCCCAGGACTTGGGCGTCAACATAGATTGCTTAAAATAATAATTATGCAATCTTCAGGGCTCAAACTTTTTTGTTTTTTGCACTACAGTTCCATTGGCCATACTGATTGGGGGGATTCTGTAGTCCAAAATGTCATTTTTCCAAGCTTAGACGGACTCAGAGGCATTAAGACTAATACATATGAGCATGGAGTGATGGAGGGCAATAAGAAGAGGTGGTTAAAAATGGTGCCATAAGACCAAACAGGAAATGAGAAGGGCAACTCATGGTGTGACATTTCAAGCAAACCAGGCCTCAAGGACAGGCTGTAAATCTATATTTTGTGCAACAGAAACCAAATTCTGTGCCAAGAAGTCCAATTCTACAACCAGAACAAAGCATACAAATTTGCTTACTGTATACTTATTTTTCTGCTTAACATACTCCATTTCTACTATCCATTGGAAAGAGACCCAAAATAATACATAAAGCAAAGAAAGCATCAGAGCTAAACTTTACTGGGGACCAGCATATAAATTAGGCTTATATAGCTGCAGAGGCCTAATTGCTGATAATGTGACCACCGGCAATGTCCTCTTCACCAGACACTCTTTTTACAGAGCTTGGAAGTAACACTTTGTAAGAAACAAACATTTCCTGTAATGTCTAATGTTTGGGGTGTAATGAGGCAATAAGGGCAATAATAATAATAAATCACCATAACCACTGCCAACATCATTATCTCTTTTTGTGTAAAGTCTAATCTTTACTCATCAGTCCTAAAACATTTTGTGTGTGGGTGTGTGTGTGTGTGTCACTGGGACATTTTAAAGTGCATTTGTAGAATAAAAAGCATAATATAAAGCAGCCAAAATCAACTTTAAAAGACTGTTAGCAAGTTATGTTCTTGGGCAGCAAAGGCTCCTAACAAGTAACAAGTACAGTAGTGCCCAGTTACTTATCCTATCTATCTCATAAGTAATTGTGCACCTAATATCCAACTATATGTTTCAATGTTTTGATCATTTTTATGAGAGTATAACCAGACATTTCAGAAGCAGGATTCCTATGCCTATACACGCAGAGCTTTTCTTTTCTTTTCTTTTCGAGAGGGGGCAGAGAACCTGTTTGAAAATTCAAAACTGAGGGGAGGAAAGTGGTGAGATTCCTGAAGTTTGAACCTGTTCTCTTCCTGAGTTGTCCTCTTTTGCTCAAAGCTTAGGACAAAAGAGATTGCCACTAATAAGGAGTCCTGGCTGTATTACAGAATAGAAAGCACACAAGACAAGTGGTAATGGTGGAGAACATGCCCATTTTGAATTGGGTGTAAGGGACATCATGATAAGATCCATCTAGATTCATGTGGCTAGTTTTAGATTGCCTAAATATGCAACAACCATTTATTGGAAATGGGTAACAGCAGAGCAGGGAGAATGCAAGTCTCAGCAACAGCACATGAAGGAAAGTAGGTCTGTTTCTTTCATGTGAGATATTGAACAGGGAACTAGGGCTGATACATGAAACTGGGAAGAGAGCAAAGGAGCTCATGTAGAAAATTAAAAAACTGCTCAGGGCTCAGACGTTGTGGTCTAAAGAAAGAAGCAAGCCCAGGGCTTATTACTAGGCAACAATAAATGGGAGATTCAGGAGTCACACCACCTTTCCTCCCTTCAGTTTTGAATTTTAATCTCACCACCACTACCCTCTGGTCAAATTTGTTTCTGTTCCGATCAGCTTGAAGTTATTTCAAGCTTTGCCCAGCGGGATGAAGTTGGTTCATGCTTTCCAGTTCCTGATGCAATATAGAACTGCAACAGCAGCCTCATGAGTAACACATTTACACATCTCTGCCCCACCCCCCCCAAATGAATGCTGTGCTACTACAAATTCTGTATTGCTAAAAGTGCTCATCTATGCAAGTTGCCCCCTCCCATCATCTCCAGTCTAAAGCTTAATATTTATACAAGTCACTCTGGAATGTGACAAGCTCAGACCAATTATTGCCAATATAGCTATGAATAAGGAACTGAGGGTCAGCACACTGCACCCCTCAATAAATGGAGATGTATGATTTAGACTGGGAACTCATTTTGGGGTAAATTATGTAAATGCAATTTCTTTATTCAGGCTATTAACTCAGATTTCTACTAAGTAAGTCGGATTTTTAAGTAGGATTGCCAGGTTAGCAATATCCCATTTCCTGAGATTTCTGATCCAAAACCAGAAGCCTAATGTATGTGACAGGCAGACAGAGAGACAGACAATGTAGAGACACAATGTTGAATCTGAAGGTCTGTGAAACACAGCTGTCAAGGGATTGCCGTCCAGAATCTGTCTGGAGAGACTGGTGGGTGTAGGTTATAGTGCATGATAAGGAGCAATTGCATTAGCACAAAAGAACACTAATTTTAAAAAATAAGATTTGGGACAAAAGGAGATTTGGATCTAGTGCTAGATCTCTGGGTGATCTGTAGCATACCAGGATGAACCCCCAGGCCACCAGCATCTCATTTAATGAAATCTAGAAAGTGACCCCCAAACACTTTTGTCTCAGAGCCAAAATATGAAACTGGGTAACTCCTAAGTAATCCAGGAGTAAATTTTAGCCTCCTGCTTTCCCACCTGTAATTTTCACTTAAGGCATGGCTCCAATTTGCTTCCACATGAGGCTTCTTCAGAATTGCCAAGGCATTTCTTGACTTGTATTCAACAAAGGTCCTTTGTAGATTTAGCTAGAAGTTTCTTCCATGCCGCCTCTTTCTCTAACTGCTTTCTGTTCAATGTGGCCAAAGTATTTAACAACGAATTGCCTCTTAATCAGTGAGTACCTTTTCCAACAAGGATGAGAGGCTTTAATAATGGTTCTCACTCTGTTTTTAAAATGGTAAAATAGTGCTGTTGTACATCAAAATCAAAAGAAAAAAAAACACCTCTGCATCTGGGAAACAAGAACCAATGCTGGCATACTAAAGAGCAATCAGAGGTAGAAGATGTGAAAAGAAAGCTTCTAATTTAAAGGCAATAGCATCTTGCTTATCCATACTAGACAGGCCACCATTGCCACTGTTTTTTAATTGGGAGGAAAAAGTTGCAAATTAGGTGGACGGAGGAAATAAGAGAATGATAAATAAAACAATAGAGTGGAACTGATTGGCAAGGTATTATCTGAATTCTCCAATAAAAAGATGAAGGCAATTTTAGACTGAATAATGATTACGGAAGCAACCCAAGAGTAAAAACTGGTTTGATTAAAACCAAAAGACTCCTTTAAAATTCTTAGTATTTTATCAGGATAGGATGGTTCAGCACTGCAATGCAGTAGTTAAAACCCATACATGTGCCTCCTAGAAATTTTAGTGTGATTTTCAGAAAAAAATGAGTTTTCTAAAATATCTCGGGGTACAACCAGATGGGGGAAGTCAGAGTGATCAAGTTTGTGCTTAAAAGCTTCTTGTATTTGGTGTGATCCATTTTATCTTGCACTTGAGTGATCTTTCCATTCTCAGGGGAGAGGTTGTTGTTTTTTTCTCACAGAGAAAGGTCCAGATAGCTCTTTGGATTGTTCCAGTTTGGCCCTGTTTCAATTACTGAACCCATGTACTCAACCCCCATTCCTGTAGGCCATGGTGACTTCCACTTTTGTTCAATAAAGTAATTGACATAGCGCTATGGCAATGCATCAGCTAGCATGAAATTTTATTATAACCTATTATACCAAAAGACACCTCCAATGGATTAAAGTTGTGTTGTGTTGCTTAAGAAAGATTCATACTGGGTAAGAAATATTTAAAAAGATGAAAATAGGGGAGGGTTTTTTTTTTTCTCCACCCTCCCTTTTAATATCACAACCCACTGAATATATCACAGGGTTGTCACATCGGATAACACCAACCACAGCTCTATTTGAGTGCAAAATAACCCATTGCATGGGCTACAGAACTGGAAAATCAGG